TTTACATCAGGTGATCTTGACTCTCATTGTTAGGTTTTTCAGTCTGAACTTACCTAGAATCAGTAACAACATTCAATGTAAAGAAGTGACAATTAGGTTACAATCAGAAAGCAGAAATGCAACTTTCTGTAGCTGCCAAATAAAGATGCTTCTAACTCTCCAGGGCATGATCAAAATAAGGGGACCCCATATTTGTTCCTTAACAAAACAAGACTTGTTAAGTTTTTAAAAAACTCAGCTTTCCTTGGTAGTTTGAGACTTCCCCCATAATGCAATTACATTCCATTAAAACCCCCCCCAAACTGCAGAAAACATAATTTTGTAACAGTAAAATGCATAGTCCAAACACCATTCTCTTTTATATAATTGATATACTAGACAATTATTAATATAAATGAAATGTTAAATTAACCCAAGATTAAGATTACTTACTTCACTATAATTTAAAGTAGAAAAGGGAGAATTATTATTAACAAATACTAATTAAGCCTAAAGGTATATTCAGCACACATTAAATTTGGAAAGAAATTTTTAAATTTCTATGTATTGTACTTAGTAAAATATATACACACAGACATATATATTATAAAAAGTATCCACTTACATCGCAGAAGTAAAAGGTAAGATTATTTGTTTTGTGTTGTTTTATCTAAATGAAGACCAGAGTTCTAAATCTGGCACTACACATGTCTGGAGTTCCAGTAAGATGTTTTGAAGAGTTTGTTCAGGTGATTAATACACTCGCCTGTTAATGATTGGAGGTTCAAAACCACCCTAATGCCCCTTAGAAAAAAGGTCTAGAAATCTACTTCTGAAACAGCAGCCACTAAAAACCTTATGCGGCATAATTCTACTCGGACACACCTGGGGTCACCTGGAGCAGACTCTGTCGTTTTCTTGTTGCACAAAACTCATAATACAGATGTCCCACAATTTGTTGTATGCTCCCAACAAACCAACTACTAAAAACACCTTACAGTGTAAGTAAATTCCAACATTTAGCTCATTCGTTTCTCATTTTTAGACCTACTGGATTGTTATAATTATACATGAGTTCCAGCAGAACACAAAAGACAACATCATTCCTGGCCAATTCCCCAAATCAGCACTTATTTGAGCAACTATGAGACCTTCTGTATGATCTACTGCAATTCCAAAGATGTTTCTCAGACAGAACTTCAATCACATTTCACTGGCTTTTTATCAAAAGAGAAAATAGTTCTAGTTTCTTTCCATTACTGAAATAGAATAATGAAAAGAGTAGGAACCAAGAAATACCCACTGTAAACTATGGAAGCTCTCAATTACAAAAAAAAATAATAATTCTAACATTGGTTGGTCTATTATTCTTATATCCTGTATTTGCTAATTCCCTAGTAACCCATTAAAACAACACCATTTCACCTTTCTTAATTTGTATGTTTGACATAATTTTTATTTCTAAGACAAGCCTTCACCAAGACGAAAATCTGCTTTTATTTCGCTTCAGATTATTGTGAACTGCTATCTATAATGCTTCTTTTTAATGTCATCACAAAATGTCATTTACTGATTATGTAATGACATGTTAACAAGGAGAAAACACTTTTTTTTTAGATCCTTGTAATTGGTTCCCCCAAAAACACTTCTTTTCCATAGAAATTAAAAGCCTTTTTTCTCCATAAAAATAAAAAGTGAACATTACTTACGGTTTGCTAAAATTTATCAAATAAAAAAGTGCCCTAATTTGTTTTCTCTTAGAATTAAAATGCTTTTAAATGTTTTGGTTATCCAAGAGTCTAAATTCAATACTCTATGAAAGCAGGCCACCAGAATTCAGAGATTGAGAACTTCAGCTATTTGGGAAGGGTCATTTCTAAAAGTAAGCGTTGGATCTCAACCAACAAAAACTTCTACTATGTGTAACTTAAAACTTCCTCAAGTGTTCACCCAGTAATTTTACGCACAACAGGAAGTCAGAAGAGACAAACACTATCACAACAAGGAAGATGGCAATGAACAGCACAGAGGACAGAAGAGCTATCACAATCCATGGGCATCTAGAGATACATTATTTAAATGTTACAAATGAGATGAAAGGAAGTTTGGGATTTGCCTTGAAAATAATCCAGGGTAGAGGATGATGATATGTTGGGTATTAATTAAACAAATTTATTCACATGTGGATAATTTCAGAAACCAGATGGTGGATAAAGTGAGTTGTTTTGTCTACTTTTGCAGATGTTTGAATATTAAGAGGTAATGAGAGTAGAACAGCAAGAAGCACAGAACCATAATAGCTCCTGAAGACAATAAAGTTATAAACAATCTCCCAACGGCCAGATTCAAAGATCTTTTTTCTGACCTCAACGTATGTGATCTATTAAAAAATGAAGCGCGGATGTCTGTTGCTTCCCATCCATCTAATCCCTTCCCTCTAGTGGTCACAGCTGCTGCTTCTTGCCTTTGCCTGTCTCTAACGTTTGAAGAGTCCCTAAAGTTCTTGATTCTCAAACTTTACAGACTATCAGATGGTTTAGTTCACACTGACAGGTCAAGACTAAAACCTCATTGCAGTTGAGTTGCTTCCAATTCATGGCACCCCATGTTTTACAGGTAGACCTGAGCTCCATGGGGTTTTCTTGACTGCAATCTGTAAGGAAGCAGATCGCCTGGCCTTTCATTTTTGGTGTCCCTGGGTGGGTTTTAGTTAGTAGTCATGCACAAATGCTTGTGTCATCAGGACCTCCTACAGTCCCAAACCAACCGACACTGGGTTGATGCTGACTCACAGTAACCCTATATATGGTTTCTGAAGCTTTGTAGAGGAGCTCTAGTGGCACAATGGGTTATGCATTGAGCTGTTAACCATAGGGTTATTGGTTCCACCCCATAGCCACTCCACAGAAGATGAGACTGTCAACTCCCATAAAGATTTAAAGCCTCAAAGACCCAAAGGGGCAGTTCTATACTCGGTTCTATAGGTTGCTACGAGTCAGAATCGACTCAATGGCAGTGAGTTTGAATTCTGAATTCAGGCTTTGTAAATCTGTATGTGAGCAGACCTCCTCACCTTTCTCCCCAAGAAGGGCTGATGGGTTTGAACCACCACGTTATAGTTAGCAGCCAAAGTTTATCTGACAGCACCATGAGGGAAAATTGTCATTTTCCACTTTCATCTCTTAAGGGCACTAGAAGTATATTTCCAATGTTATACAATACCAGCTGGGTGATCAAAAGATATAGCGTCTGGGGTCTTAAAAGCTTGAAGGTAAACAAGCGGCCATCTAGCTCAGAAGCAACAAAGCCCACACGGAAGAAGCACACCAGGCTGTGTGACCACGAGGTGTCAATGGGATCAGGTATCAGGCATCAGAGAGCAAAAAAATCTTATCATTGTGAATCAGGGGTAGTGTGGATTGGGGACCCAAAACTGGACATTCCCCATACAGAAGGGTTGCAAGGAGGAGGAGGAGGAGGAGGAGTAGGAGGCGAGCCAGTTAGGGTGCAGGGTAGCAACAATGAAACACACAATTTTCCTCTAGTTCCTAAATGCTTTCCCACCCCACCACTATCATGATCCCAATTCTACCTTACAAATGTGGCTACACCAGAGGATGTACACTGGTACAGATAAGAATTGGAAACACAGGGAATCCAGGACAGATGATCCCTTCAGGACCAGTGCTGAGAGTGGTGATACCAGGAGAGTGGAGGGAAGGTGGCGTAGAAAGGGGGAAACGATTACAAGGATCTACATATAACCTCCTCCCTGGGGCACGGACAACAGAGAAGTGGGTGAAGGGAGACGTCGGACAGTATAAGATGTAAGACATGACAAAATTATAATAATTTATAAATTATCAAGGGTTCACGAGGGAGGGGGTGGTGGGGACGGAGAGGGAAAAATGAGCTGATGCCAAGGGCTCAAATAGAAAGCAAGTGTCTTGAGAATGATGATGGCAATAAATGTATTGACACAATGGATGGATGTATGGATTGTGATAAGAGTTGTATGAGCCCCCAATAAAATGATTAAAAAAACAACAAAACAAAAAGAAAAACAATTCCAGCTGGGGGAATAAGAGACTCTTCAAATTCTACAACTTCTCCTTCAGGTCAGGTGAGCACTTTCAATTGTGCCTGACACATCTCCTATGTCTCCTACTTATACCTCAAATTCAGTGTCTCTGAAATCCAAATCATAATCTACATTTTCCCTGTAAAAAGCAATAGCTCTCTTCCCACCTTCCTTATTTCCAATAAAGATCATGGTGTTATTTTCCCATCAGCAAGTTCTCAAACTCAGACTCATTTTTGTCATCTGGGTCACTCTTTTGTTGACGTTTTCTTCCTTTTCCTACTTGTAATGCCACAAGCGTCCTTCAGTCCTCATCACCTCTTTTCTGGGACACTGTCAAACTCCTTAACAATTCTCCTCATTGCAGTCCATCATACAGAGTTGCCAGAAGACCATCCCTGACCATTTGCTCAAATATTTTTAGTGGATCCTCTCTAATAAATACATCTGACTTATCTCACCAGACAGCTAACATAAGGTGACCAGACGTCCTGCTTTTGATGGGACAGTCCCAATTTTTAACAAATTTTCCCGCATCCCACAGCGTTTTTAAAAAGTCCCGATTTTGGGGAAGAATGCACGACAAGCTAGGGTATATGGTTTTCAGCTGCCATGTGGCTATTTTGCCAGGATATAAGTTTTATCTGTGGTGTTCCGCTTTACCAATGTTAAAATCTGGTCACCTTAAGCTAACACCTAAGCTCCAGTCAAACTGATCTACCATGCTAGTTTAATCTCAGTCGGGGCACTCTCGCTATCTGAGGGCAGGAAGTTGTCTTCGCATCTATCCATAGAAGATAAAACAGCGGTATTTCTGAAAGAAGGGAGAAAGTAAGACTACAGAATAAAACCAAATTAATTTAGGTAACAAATGTATTTTTTTCTTTCCTGGAGATTTAGTCTTCCAAAACAAGTACATAAAATTAGATAGATCTATTACCTGTTATGACATTTATATCTGGGTACTGGCTTTCACACAGACCAACAGCTTTGCTATCCCTCTCAAAAGCCTCTCGAAGCTCTTTCTTGCCTGCTGCCGAGCCACATAATCGATACAGGCCTACTACCTAGAAATAAAATTGTTGCCATGTTAATGATAAATTCAAGAAATTGAAAACATAACAGTACAGCATATACAAATCACATGAATTTGGTGATCCAATATGTTCTGAGGGCATTGATTAAAAAAATACCTCAATCACAGTTTATGAAATCTGACTATAGAGTGATTCATTTAATAAAAACCTATTCTTCATTTAAATTAAAGCAATATGATTTCTAATGCTATATTAAGTAAAGATATAATTCCTTCTCTTGAATTTTATATGCTCAACTACTGTCTCCTTGACCCAAGAACCAGTCTTTAACTTGTCCTTGTGATGTACAGCAAGGGTCAGCAAATAGCGGCTCTTGAGCCATATGCAGTTTTTTCAGTACATACCTGTGCCTCTGAAGTAAAATTGAAAATGAAAATAAAACTATCACAGTTTCACTTAAAGCAGTGGTTCTCAACCTTCCTAATGCGGTGACCCTTTCATACAGGTCCTCATGTGGTGGTGACCCCCCAACCATAAAATTATTTTCGTTGCTACTTCATCACTGTCATTTTGCTACTGTTATGAATGGGGCGACCCCTGTGAAAGAGTCGTTTGACCCCCCAAAGGGGTCACGACCTGCAGGTTGGGATAACCTGACTTAAAGGATATTATTCAGATAATGGTGATTTCATTTGCCTATAAAAATATATTCCTGGCTCTTGAGTTAATTTTTAAATTATCGTGACAGGCAGGACTGGCTCTTCTGCCTCCAAAGCTTGCCGACCCCTGATCTAGACGAGCGTAGTGCGCGCAGTGGTTAAACAGGAATCGGGCGTCTTAGACCTACTCTACACCTTCATGTTTAGTGAACTTGGGCAAGTTATTTATTCTCTTTAAAACGGATTCTCTAACCATAAAATATATAAGCAGTTAAACTGATTCCAGCATACAATTAAAGATAGCGTATTAGAAAATAAGCAAACTCTCAGGCAGAAATACCAACCTAGAGTTCTTTTTCAACTTTCAAAATTAACTGATAGTACAGTGAGGAAGGAAATTTAAGGAATATATTGAAGGTGAAAAATAAATCCTCTAGTTCAAAATGTGCATAAGATGCATAAACCACCACCACTAACCCCCAAACTGCAACCAACAGATTTGTTTTTAAACTGGTTCTACATCTTAAGAATCTCAATATAAATTCTTGGATGGGTCTTTAACACGGTCTTTGCAAGGAGAAAATTGCCTGATTAACCTATCAAAGTCTCTGTGAGAATAAACCAGGAAGAAAATTAGGTAGAGTAAGTGGGTAGTAGCTACGCTTCCACATCAAAGACTACTTAGGAAGCTCAATCACCTTGAACTGAAGCAAGAATTGTGGATAAAGAAGTTACTCCAGTTCAAAATGAAAACAAACAATGGGTATCCCCAGGACTTGAATTTTAAAATCACATTGTAATCTTGTAAATGATCTAGCAGACAGAATGCACAATAAAATTTCTGTGAACTAGCAAGCAAGTAGAAAATATTATAATCTTTAGATAGGCAGGCCTCAGTTTGGAAAAATGTCAGTAACAGACACAGGAAAGTGTTATCTGAAATATGTGAGATCATATGCTATTAGAAGTAAATGAAAAATAGTATAAAATGGCTAAGACTATTTCTAAAAGACAGTAATATAAGGAGTTGCTACATTCCAAAAGATCAACATACTACAAGAATCCAAGGTATGTTCTGGAAAGAAAATTCAAATTTCTTACCCTTATCCAAATTCATGGGGGACTGAGAATATCATTTGCTATTCTGGCTACACCATCTTAAGAAAGACATATTGAAATTGGAGATAGTCCATAATTTGAAGGTAAAGTATTAGATGGGATCAAAACAAATGCTGCCACATTACAAGAAATGAAAATGGCTTAGACACCTTCAAAAAGGTGACATTTAAATGAGCCCAAGCTCCATAATACTAAGGGGAAAAATGTTTCCCCTTGAACCTGAAAAGGAACTGTGTGCACCACAAATTCAGTTGTTTCCTACCTCAGTAGATAGGTAATACACAAGGGGTTTCAAAAAGCTCACTGTAAATGGAATAAAAGGATAATGAAATTTCTCTACAAACTTTTTGAAGTACAAGCTTCATATTAACAAAACATATGCTAAAAAAGCTCAAATTAAAACGATCATTAAAAAAGTAACAAATGGAAGGAAGATCTAGTACAGGTATTTGAAGGAAGGATGTTTTAGAATATAATTCCTAGTTTCAGAAGCTGACTTTTTGAGTCAGACACTTGCAGTACATGCTAGATGACTCTTCTATCAAAAGAACGAGAAATATGATGATCTCAGCACTTTGTACTGGAAGCAAGGATGGGTGGTAGTAATGTTCAAAGCATGTACAGAAGATACAAAGATCCATACTATAAATGATCTTTGTATGTATCAAAGACTGATTTGCAGCATAAAAGCAAGAGAACACACACACACACACACACACACACAGTACTGTTGTTGGGGGCCTTGGAAACCCTCGGGAGCAGTTCTACGCTGTCCTAGAGGGTTGCTAAGAGTTGGTATTGACTGGCCAACAGTGGGGGAGGCTGCTGGGTGTTGGGATCCCACTTCATTTCATACAATAAAACGATGTGATACAACAGAACTGCCCAACAAGGTGGTCTTGCTGTCATCTACAGCAGCAGCTCAACAAGGTGGTCTTGCTGTCATCTACAGCAGCAGCTCACCAGGTCTTTCTTCGGCAGAAGGGCTGGTTGGGTTCCACACACCAACCTTTTGGTTAGAAACTGTGCTTAACCACGGTGCCACCAGTGCTCCCTTTAAACAGCAGAGTAGTCTGTAAAATGCAGGCACAATAAACCTGCCTCCACTGGAGATCCCCTTGCAGAGGGGTCTCGGGGAGGAGATGAGCCAGTCAGGGTGCGATGTAACAATGATGAGAAATACAACCTTCCTCTAGTTCCTAAAGGTTTCCTCCCCGCTCCCATTATCATGACTGGAATTCGATCTTGCAAGACTGGCTGGACCAGAGGAGGTACACTGGTACAGATAGTAACTGAAAATGTAGGGAATCCAGGATGGATGAGCCCTATAGGACCAGTGGTGTGAGTGGCAAAACAGGGAGGGTAAAGGGAGAATGGGTAGGGAAGAGGGAACCGATTACATGGAACTGTGTGTGACCTCCTCCCTGGGGGACAGACAACCGAAAAGTGGATGAAGGGAGACGTCAGACAGGGCAAGATATGACAAAATACCCATTTATAAACTATCAAGGGCTCATGCGGGAGGGGGGAGCGGGGAGGGAGGGGAAAAATGAGGACCTAATGTCGGTGGTTTAAATGGAGAGAAAATGTTTTGAGAAACGATGTACAAATGCGCTTTACACAATTGATGTGTGTATGGATTGGGATAACAGTTGTATGAACCCCTAATAAAATGTTAAAAAAGAGAAAAAAAAATTAAAACAGAAAAAAATAAAAATAAAATAAAATAAAATAAACCTGCCTCTGTGTATTGGTGTGAGATGAGGGAGCAAAAGTCATTAAAGAAAAAGGGTCTTTATTAAGTACAGTCCCAAAGGCATAAATATAAAAGTTACGTTTTAGTTCACAGGAAATAATCCTTCATTAATTAAGATAAATCTTTCTATGCCTCGAGTATAGGAAAAACAGCACTGCTAAAAATGTCTTTTGGGCACTTAGAAAAGTCACAACATCTTTTAGACACTTCTTAAAAACTATTTAAGAAAACAGGCTAAAAAAGGATAGTATCTTTTGGTTAGTTGCTTTAATATTCAATAATAAGTTTTTGCTTAATCATTTCTTTAAGGTCTGCCAAGTCGCAGAAGTTTTTACAAGCTGCCTGAGAAGAATAAAGGAAAACACAGAGGAATCATGACCAGATTTGGTCAAAAGTGAGTCTTAAAACTAAAAGAGCTCACTTCTACAAAGACAACATAAACTGGACTTGATAGGCTCATAGATCTAGTTAAAATAGTCTGCAAAAGTTCAGACGTCCTGCCTCTTAGCTGAGGAAACTACTGCTTACTTTCACAGATATAAGCAAGTAAGAACCACAGAGTTAAGTGACATGCCCAACATCACACAACTAATTAATAATAGAAAGGAGGCCTTCTACATTTTAATGTAAAATGCCACTCTAATTTATGCTGTTCCAGTTTCCATGTTCAGTACAAAGCACACTGTCTTAAACTCCTCTGTTACATATAAAGAAATCGTGCTCCAGACACTAACTCTCAATACCTTTTATCTTTTTAACCTAACCTGTGACGTCTTAAATCTACTGCCAGATAAATTCATGAGACCGGAATGATTACTTACACCTGGTTTGTGCCACAACTGAAAATAAAGAATCATCTCTCAGAATAATACCATCAGTGAAATGTTTCTCCTATCAGAGCTACACGTGTTCAAGAAAAGAAAGATACACTTTCCTAACTGGTTAGTTTACTTATCTTGCTACCAATAACACAAGGTTGTCGGTCTATTTGTTTCAATGGGTTACCTTTGCATTATTTAAAAGGGAATGAGATGTGTTGCGAACAGGGCTTTGCCTCAGCCTCCACACGACCCTCGAAGTGAGAGACTAAGCTCGTGCTTTCCCAAGAGTGGGACCCAGGGATAGTATTGAATAGGCAGACACAACATTTTACTAGTGAAACAGGTGTCCAAAACGCTGCTGGAACTTTTCTACCACGGAAACAGCAAACCATGTAGAAGCACTCCTTAAATTAATTAGTCTGTTGTTATCAGCATGGGCTTTGCTGAGGAATGGGACTGTAAAGTAACCCTGACCCGCAGGTGTAAGACTATGCGGCCCAGCATCACAGGGTAAACAGCATGCTCTCCAACATAACTTATGAATCATACATACCCTGTACAGGAATGGGATAAAAGCATGAACAGGAAGGGAGAATTGTCTAGATTAGGTTTGCTGTGCGTTTGTTCTTTTTTAACCAACACTTACTATAAATAAACCATCAAGGAGGTAGAAGAGAAACAGCATGAAACACTACCTGACAACCTCTCTTCTCAATTTCCACAATACATTTCTGTATCAGAAGTGGCACCATCAGTCCTACATTTTCTTTCTCTACAACTTTTCGAATATCAACCCCAAATATCACAGGTTCACGATTTACATCTAGTCCCTGGAGAGAATTCTCCCATTGTTCCATGAGCGTCACTTTCACATAAATAAGACCTCTAGGTTCAAGTTTGACAGCCAGCTGGTGTGTCTTTGTCACCCTGAATAAAGTGGGGAGAACAACTGTCCCGTGACAGCACACTCGGTTCTTCCTAGGCGTGGGCTCCCAACTGAATACGACCAACTTCAGATGCTGCGCATTTTCAATCTCTATGTTGAAAGTATGGTCCATGTCTAAAAAGGTGGTCCGACACGTGAGCAGAGCCGTTCTCGCTTTGTTGACAGAGTCTACCTGAATTGCACAAAAGACATCTTTGGAGTCCATCCGGGGTGGCTTTAGGTCCTCAGCTCCATAGAAATGCACACTCATGAGTCCAGATATGTACTGTGAACACTTAGGCTGATCAGAAAAGCTATAATGCCTAAAAGCATCAATGTCTATTTCATTTTTGCTACAATTATTGGGGATTATTTCCTTTCCTTTCCCAAATTTGTTTTCAGACCCATGTTTGCTAGATTTGGATATAAGTTCAGGTGAGTCTCCATCGCTGAGGTAACCACCTTTGCAGGAGTACTTAGAATGCATGGAGGTTTTCTTCTGACAGCTGTGCTGAGAAGATACACTAGTATCAAGATGGTACCGGCTTATAACATTCCGCTTAGCAGCTGTGGCTGTGTTCCTAGAAGGCAGAATGACGACAGCATGATGAACTTCTCCATAGGTACACTTGGACAGAGAAGGTGCATTATCTGGACAACTTATATAATTCCAGGTTCCTTTAGCACTCAACTTTCGGCTAAGTTCTGGCAATCTTTTCATCTTCATGGAAAGCTTCCTCACAGTTCGTGGGGATTTTATTTTATCCGGGAAAGACCAATTAATTGAGCCACCTTTTTTCACGGGGCTAGGGTTTGGAGAAGATGGTTCTAAAATGTCCAGTTCAGTCTTATTTGATACGGCTCCAATGCCAAAACCTTTGGGGTTAAAAAAAAAAAAAGGCATATTATAAAGTGATAGGCTTTGATTCCTTCTTTTGCTTTCATGCTATCAACTAAACAAGCTCTCATGTGGAAGGAAATTCTTCCCCTGACTCATCTCAAAGGAAAATGATACCAGGTTCAAGCAGAATATAGAAGATCTCCAAACGGTGGATAATGGAAAGAAGCATCTCCCTCTCCATCTACTTTCCTATTCTGAAGATTTTGAGCACAGGTAATGTTAAGTTCCTTTAAGCTTTTTCCACTCTAATATACCTCGCAAGTATGCCATTTATAACCTTAAACAGAGGAAACAGAAAAAGCTACCTAGTTCACAATGTTTAAATTCAACTAGAAATTCTATACTAACATAAAAATGCTTCGTCTATATTTATAATACTCTAAAAATGAATTTTATCCTGTGCTGACTAAAAATTTATAATCAAACAAGTTTATAAGAACCCCTCCTGATTCTAATATTCCAAAGAGTCTAGCATCAAAGAGTCTAGCAAAAGAACGCTACCCAGTCAAACTAGTGGAATATTGAATATCATAAATCTAACTGAACAATTTTCAGAAGGTGCTAAAGGGTCTTCTTTCCTGTACTGTTTATACACAATTCCCTAGAATCGCTGAAGCTAAATACACTAAAGCCTCTAATAACAATTTCAGCATGAATAAAGGCATAAATAATTTTCAAATGTTTTCAATATTCACAGAGTAAAACCTTCAAATATTTAAAAAAAACCTCCTACACTAAAATAGCTTTATTCTTTTCTGAATGTCAAAATACTTCAGGGCTATTGGATAGTAAAACGGGGGAGGGGGCAAGGTTAATACAATGATATCATAGCCTAAAACCATCCGACCTAGACAGAGACTACCATCATAAATTCTTTGGTGAAAATATTTAAAATCACAATAACAATTAGACTAGTCAGCACTTACTGAGTTAGTTAGCATGTAAAGACGCTCCTTTTGTTCTCAAAACCATCCTTTAATTCATACCATTAATACCTCTTTTCTAGGAGGCGTCTGCCACAGAGCTGGCAGTGGCAGAGCTAGGATTCAAACCTAAGCACAGGCGTCAGACTACATTTTTAACCACTAAACTTTCAGCCTATCCGACTTTCTAAATCGGACTCTGTCCATACAAACACAATAAATTGTTTTTAAAGGCGTTTCTCGATTATTGCCAAAAGGCTACGAAGAGTGACAGTGGGAGCACCAGAGGTGGAAGTGAACGTTTGCCCCCTGAAAGCGGTAACCAGTGCCGCTGAACAACTTGTGCAGCGCGGGGACTGGGCCTGAACTTGCTTCACCAGAAACGATGTAAAACCAGGTTTTCAACGACATTAAACAGCTTAATCTCCCAGTTCACGAAACATATAGACTAATCAATTTCATCTTAAAATTTGAACTTGTTTCTCTAGTTTTCAAACCAATCAAATGAAATAGGTTCCAAAATCTACTATTAACCAAGTTTTCACTATTACCTTAAAAAAGAAGCAATCTAGTACTATCCCAATTAAGCAAGAGTTCAATTCACTGTTCATACTTTGCCTAACTATTTCTTATACAGGAAGATACCCACTGAACTTTTATCAGTGACTAAGTAGCATTTTTTATCCCTACACTTCACAAATAAAATGAGAAAAGATTTATTCAAAGATCATTAAATAAAATTATCTTCTTTACATATATTAGCATAATATTCCTCCCATAGTCCTTGATGTGCCCTAATGTTAAAAAAATGGTTTCTTCATAAAAAAGTCTATTTTAAGCCTGCTGGGCTTTTTTGGTAAATAGCTAATAAGAAACGTAGTGTCTGATAAACTGAACAAAGCAACCCTTGTATCACAAATCATAGTACAAGTCTACTGGTTTACTGGTCTAAGACATTCTCTCAATACACATTACGAAAAGTAGTATTTGGATTACAAGTTTTTAGTGTTTCTTTGGAAAGCAACATAATACACAGAGTTGCATAACTCACATTTTCTTTCAACAGTATAGTATTTACCCCAGTCCCCAGTGTCCCTACATAAGGTATTAAAATGCACACACATTCTTATGTTTACAAAGCACAGAAACACTAACAAGGACATGAGGAAATTCAGGGAAAGAAACGTAGTTAGCCAGTCAAAGGTAAAACAGCAAGCCTGCTGCCACTACAGGGAACTGGAGTTTATCCTCAGGAGGGAACTCCAGGATACAAAGTAGAGTATTTGCTTCAGAAGCGTCCTACCCAAGGAGTAAGAAGG